CGGAGGACGAGCCTATGACCCGGCTCCCTATGCTGCCTATGCTAGCTATCAACTAAAGCGCCAATACCCTAAGCTTACAGAATCGGAAATCCAAGAGCGGTATGGAGGCTTCGTCCACATGGGCAAGATCATGGAATGTGGTGGTGCGTGCTCTACCCCCAAGTCACCTGGCGCAGTTGCCGTGGTATACGAGAATGGTTCTTTTGATATTAGCCCTACGTTCCCCGGATCTCGTTGCACGCCCTTGTCTGTTGCCGCGCACGCATTGTACGAGAATTCGAGGCCCGATGTGTTGCGTGGGCCCGGAGGGGCTCTGTACCTGGAAAATTCCAAGTACGAGCAGCTTCCAGATGGGCGAACAACTCGTGTGAGCGGCTCGGAATACCGATCAAGTCAATCACAGGGCTCTCCATATCAATTCAAACTTGAGGCGGCCCGTGTTATTGGATATCGCTCCATGTTTATGGGATCCGTTAAAGACCGTAAGCCTACTTTTTCTTCTGTTTTGACGAGCGCTAATAAAGGACATAGACATTTTGATTAAGAACGTTGATAACCTCTTTGGACGGATAAAGCTATACGTCAGAGAGCAGCATCCCGATGTTGCAGGAGAATGGGACCTTGGCTTTCACGTATACGGTCGTGGTCAGAGTACACCAAAAGGCCCCGGAGAGCTCTTTATTATTGTCGAAGCTATTGCTGAGAATCAAAAGTTAGCAACCAGTATGGCATCCAAAGCTAGAGTAGCCATGATTGTAAGTCCTCTCATTCCATCAAGTGGCATCATAATTTAACTGACAATGAGAATAGCACGGTCCTTATCCTGGAATGAAGGCAACTGCAGGCAATTTCGCCTTTGGTATTGGTGGAAAGATGGAGATTGAGCTAGGCAAGTGTGCCAAATTCTCCATATACCATCTCATGGACCTCGAACCAGGCGAAGAGAGGCTGCGGCCTACCCCTGGAGTTGTCAATGAAAGGAAGCTGCTAAGTTATACGACATCCATCATTGGAAATGGGAAGCCGGCTCCATCAGATGACGCATTCAGAGCTGAAATCGCCCGTCTCCGCGATTCGCTCCCAGCTCCCGTCTCGAAAGGAGCCGTTCACGTCGCCGAAACTAAGTCTGCTGCACCTAGTGAGCCACCCAAGACTCTTTGGGACATTGCTGCTGTTCTTCGGTCTAAAAACGGTACGTTCAAATTCAGCTCTCACTTGGTTCCAGGACCGTTGCTAATAATGCGCAGCTGGCCCTTTCGATATTAGCCTCGACGTGATCTTCAAGACGAAAGAAGATTTCCACGCGGTCAAGAACTCGAATTTCCTTTCCGCCGAAAACGTATCGCGTGCGCTTGAGATTGATAAGAAAGATATTGTATGGATGGGCTTTTTTGAGCCCGCGCTGGCTTTCAAGGTGACGATACCACGTTTCCGAGGAGGGAAGAAAACGCCCGCTGGTAGCTTCATGGAGAATGACGTCCATGGATCGCAACAGCATGTGGGCTTGGGCACAATGACTCTGCCTGACAGTTTACGGGGGCCTTCCAAAACGTTGTGGGAGAGGAGTCAGACGTCGGTGGCTGCATATGTTGCCATCGGAGCATTCTTGATGACTGTTGGCGGCGTTAAGGGCTTCTTGATAGGCAAAGCTACATCTCGCTCTAGGTGACATAGGGTTTGATTCTTTTGTTATAGTATCAACTTTCCGGGTTCGGGACGTTGGATGGTGTTTCAAACGGACACGGGTTGAACATGGTCGCTTTTTGGACACCTCTCTAGATCAGGTAACCATATTGTGTAATAATATTCGGTTTCATATCTTTTATCTTGTCTTGAGTTATGCCTATTTCTAAGAAGCAGGTAATGATATGCTATAGTCATAGAAGCCGCACATTGGTTGTTATTAAGTACGTAGTGTCACTGTATGTGATGGGGACACCCAAAGACTTGAAGCCGAGATCTTTCAATTTATAGTCTACAAAATGCATTCTAATAAAGAAGTACAAGATCAAGTCAGTATTTCTTTCACTTCCCTCCCTTACCCTCTATGATAAGCCCCACCATCTAATTCCTCCTTCCCAGCTAGGATTCTGCCCAGCCTTCTTCAATTTATGTAGCGTTTCAGGCTCGGTCAAGCCTCGACTTAACGCAATCAAGAGTCTTAGAATCCGGAATCTCCACCATTGGAAGAGTAAACGCTTCCAATCGAAGCAGTGTTTTCGCCCGCAGCAACTAGAACATACAGAGGGGAAACTTCGACGGGCTGCTGAAGGCGTCCAAGAGGCAAAAATGCGGTAGCAAACGCTTCAACTGACTCCTGAGTCTGCCCTTGACTGGTAAGAAAGTTGGTATAGGTCATTCCAGGAGCAATAGCGTTAACACGGATGCCCTTAGGAGCTAGCTGAACGCCAAGAGTTCGTGCCATCGAAACTAGAGCGGCCTTTGTGGCGGAATAGTCCACAAGGTAAGGCACGGCGAGACGTCCGGTGGTGGAAGCGGTGAACATGATGCTAGATCCCGCTGGCATAAGGGGTGCAGCCGCACGAGACAGAAACAATGAAGCATAGACGTTTGTCTCAAACGTACGTCTGATTTGCTCTCCAGAAATTTCTGAGATGTTTGGTTGGTTGGTGGCTACGCCAGCGTTGCTGACGAGAATATCAAGCCCACCCATGGCTGTATAAGCCTGCTGGACAAGATCGGTGCAGAATGTCTCATTGCGCAGATTTCCCGGGATGCCGTGGAACTTGACCCCAGAATCCTCAACATATCGCCGAACTTCATCTGCATCTGATTGTTCTTCAGGGAGATAGTTGATTGTTACGTCGGCACCCTCTCGTGCATAGGCAATGGCAACAGCTCGCCCGATACCAGAGTCGCCGCCTGTGATCAAAGCCTTGCGTCCCTTGAGACGCCCATTGCCGACATACGACTGCTCTCCGCTGTCGATGGGGGGATTCCAGTTTGATTGAAGACCCGGGAAGGTCTGGTTGGGGAGTGTGTAGCGATCCGGGAACCTGGTGCGAGGATCAATGAGGGACTCACTATCAGCCACAACATTGGTGATGTGAACAAGCCCAATAAGGATAGTACCGAGGTTAAACTTCATTTTGAGTTGTAGTTGGAGAGCCTTTGGCTTGGTGACAATGTGTGGAGTAAATTGGAAGTGGTTATGGGGATTTCCGCTTTGTGATTCGAGAAGATTGTAAGATGGGATAGGAACGAGGTCGGTCTTATAAGAATTTATTCTTCGCCAGTATCCGTGATAAATCGTGAGATTCGTCTTGCTTCGGCTCCAACTGTCTAACTCCGGTAACTTCAACGCGAGGCTCATCCTCAGTTTCTAACTTGTAACACTGCCTCGCCTTCCAGAACCGCACCCAAACTGCGGAAATAATAACCCCATCGCACAAAATCCGTTTGTGTCTGCTCATGATGGATAAAAGATTTATGGTGACGAATCCTTACGGAGCATGAGCGGATCAGAAGATTGCCTTATTCCGGTCCACCAATCGGACGTCGAGTAGCCACCTCTGTTCTCCCATCTGTCAACCAACATATGCTGTTCTTTCTAACCACTCCTCTTATATTTCTAACCCTTAATCATTTCATAGAAAAGAAAAGAATCTAAAAGGCAACAGATTTTTGAATCAAGGCTTCCTTGCGTGACTACATTAATAGGTCTAGAAGGAACCACTAGATTTCGTAGGTGGACATACGCAGGATTTTCCCCTCCTCCTTTCCAGCCCAAATTCCTGTATTTAGGGACGAGTCTGTTTGTAATATTACGTCGTAATCACGGCAAATTTAAGCTTATAAATGACACGCATGATTGGATGTACTAAGCTTAAATCCATATCCTCATTCTCCGACTCCTATTTATAAATCTATTCCAGGGTGAGCGCATAAAATAAGAACCATGCTCTCGCATCTAGAGTATGGGCTAGTGCCGTGTTCTCTCCAAACACACCGCATGACCCAGATACCAGCAACTATAAAGCTACAGACATGAGCTTCTCAGCTTTCTATTAATGCCACTGTTCCTAGGGACAATGGGGCGAATGGAATTGCTTCTATTCGTAAAAATAGGGTTATAGTCTGATCTATAGTCACTGGAAATGGCCTTTTATTGGTAGACCATTAGTTTCACTTTGCAGACTGCAGTGTCTGTTCATGAACAATTTACTTAATTCAAGGAGTTATTTTAGAGTTTCACAACAAATAGCAACCAATTCCACAATGTTTGTCACAGTTTGAGTTGGCCTGTCTGTCGGTCAACTTATTTGTGACTAGTATCCGAAATTCATCTTCTAATTGAGATAAGTACGACATAAGAGGGGCAACGTACATGTGAATAACTCACTCTACAACAGGGAGAACTTGAGTGACAGTCCAGTAAAATCAATAAATAGAAATGATCCATTGCTGGGAATAAATAATATTTGAACCAGATATTTTGTGGGACCGACCGTTCTAACAGTTTATCAATGCATTTCATAAAACCCGTAGGGGGTCGTGTGGTTTCATAAGATAAGGTGCATCGGGGAAGGGACCATGATGGAGGCCTTGCATTTCGATCGCCAGTCGATCTCCTGCGGAGCAAAGCACATTCATGTTTTGTTCCGCTTTAATGCGTGTCGAATTGCAGAAGCACGCGATCAAGCCCCGTGGGCCTTGAGACATCGCCGTGGGACATCGCCGTGGAATCAAAACAGGGGTATATGATCATGATTACAAATACAAGCTTACAAATGCCTGACGAATAGGATCATTAGACCTACCCTGAACTGCTCTTTGCAGACTTGTGAGAAGCTCATTTCAAGCACGTATGGAGCGAGTGGATCATCCACGGACCGACTGAGGATGAATTCAAGGTCCGATAAACTAGAGTTCTTAAAATATGTGTCGATTTCATCAGAGTTATTAAGTACTCACCTTTCCCCAAGGCTTGGACTAACTGTTCATCACTGAGCACGAGATTTTGTAACTATTGCAATAAAATGAGTTTGAATATTCTTATCACCGGCGCCACTGGCTACATGTAAGTCAATCTAATGCAGAAGCAACAAGGTTCCCTCCAGCTGATTCAATATAAGTGGTGGCTCTGTTCTTTCGGGACTGCTCTCAAGCGAGAAGCCACGTTTTGAGAAGAGCCGGATTTTTGTAGCCGTCCGCTCTGAAAGACATGTCAAAACATTGACCGAGCTAGGAGTCAAGGTGGCTTTGATCGATCTCACAGATGAGGCATCTGTCAGAGAAGGCGTCTTGAACAATGACAGTAAGACTTTTACCCCTAGAATATGGATCCGGGATCTAAGTTCATTTAATGCAGTCGATTTCATCATTCACACTGCGAGCGCTCTGGAACCAGCACAGGCGAAGAATCTCATTACTGCTCTGGGGAAAAGACACAATGCGACTAAGAAAGACGTCTTCTTCATTCACGTGAGTTTGGTGTCCATGAGAAGTTCGAAATGAGCGTACTGATAATGGCCGGTTAGACTTCTGGGACATCAGCCTGGTCCTCCGCGTTCGGCTCGACATATGGCCTAGTGAAGGACACCGATCCTCTTTTTGAGAAAGAGAAAGCGATAGCAGATTCATTCCCAGTTCGACAGGTACCGCCGCCAAAATACTGAATACAAAAATTCATGGAGAATGATTCACTAACTTGACAGACCGATGTTACTGTGATTGAAGAGGCGGAAAAAGCTGGCGTGACCAGCTATATTATCCCTCCTCCTATCATTTGTATATAAATACACTTATCACATGTGTTTCAGGATATACTAACTTTAATTCTTAGATGGCCGTGGCGATGGCCCATGGAACAAGATGTCAGCGATGATCCCTGCCACTATCAATGCCGCCATATCGCGCAAAGTGGTTGAAAAGTTTCCCACGAATGCAGTGAGCATATATAGTTCTACCGTGGCTCTGAAAGATTCTCTCGTTTACTAATCCTGCGGCGATAGCGGACAATGGGGACTCACATAACGGACCTGACTGCGTACTACCTGCGTTTGATTGAGAAGATACTGGAGGGTGCCGACCTGCCAAGTGGCAAGCAGGGATACTATTTTCCTATCGCGCATCGGTTCAGTTGGTGGGATGTTTTGGATAAGATAGCCAAGGCTCTTCAAGCTCGAAATCTTGTGAAGGATAGCGAGTTGCGGGAATGGCCAAGTTACGATGCTGCGGCTGAAGGACTTTCCCTTCCTGCTGAAGTGATACCCAGGCTTTACGTCGCTGAGTATATCTTACCCCTCAATATTGCCTTTATGATCTTGGTTTTCTGACGCAAAGTTGCAGTAACGAAGTTATTGGTGAGAATAAAAGTCTAATTGGTTGGGAACCAGAATGGGACGAGCATAGGTTCTTGACGCAGATGGATGACGAAATCAAGAATTTCCTGGACCTGGGCATAGAAAAGGTTGGTTTACTTGCTGCTGTCAGCCAGGAATTGAGCAAAAAGTAGGGATGCCTTGGCTTTACCCCCAGTTCAAGAACAGGCTTTATCGACTTGCCTTATTGGATTTAGGTTTGTCAAATTCCATATCATTTATAGCACCAGGTGTCGGACTTCGATCACTGAAGGAGAGCCTTAATGCATGGTGAGGACACATCATAATGCAAGAAGGAATTGGGATAGTATGTCTACTTGGATGAGGTCGCTGGATGTAAATGATACAATTCTTCTATCCGGCTTTGTTAAGGTGTGCTGAGGTTTATGTCTCATACTAATGTGACTGCATCTTGCAATCGCTGCTTGGCTGAACCCCATGAAGCTCTGCGAAAGGGTCATCGCAGGGATCGGTGATACGATTGTGTTCAATTGTTCCCTGTATCTCATCTGCAAAGTCCTTCCCGTACATCTCCTCAATAAAGGCGAACATCATGTCTAGACTGGAGGTTACCTGGGATCAATCAGTTCAGGAATCGCAAGGCATCCTGTATCATGGAGGTTGAACTTACACCGGAAGAGGTCCAGATATTTCCGTCCACAGCCCATCTAGCTGGTGACACCCAGCTCACATTGGGACCCATGGCAGTAATAGCTGACCAGGCCTTCTTATTCGTGGTGGCTCTTTTCCCATCAAGAACTCCAGCCCTTGCAGCAATGCCTGCGCCAGTACATGTTGAAAGGAGATATTTAACACTCGGGTATGTCTCACGCACGAAGTCGATGACTCGTGATACATTTCCAAACGTTGCTCCGGCCCCCCCAGGGATGAGTAGCACGTCGATGTTTTTTGGCGGACTGTCATATGTGTGTGTGGGATTCAGAGAAAACCACATAGATGAGTTCATGACATTGAGAGAGTCCAAGGCGGGTGCAACCCAAACTGGCTCGTAGGTGGGCGCGATCAGACTCAGGTTGAGTTGTTTGCTGAAGGCAAGGTAGAACAAAGGATTTAGGGGTCCAGTCACATCAATCGAGTCAAATGAGTGGAAAAGGGCAACCGCAAAATTCTTTGGTGCGGTTTCTTCTGCTTAGTTAGTAGTTGTATACTGGGTTATTGGGGCATGCTCAATGAAAAAAATAGTGTACTCACGACCTGAAGCCGCTGTGGCAGAGACCGCCCAGAGGACTAGTTGTAGGAGGATATTTGACTTCATAATGACTAGCCAGGTTGACGATTAGCCCGTGGATTGTCACGAATATATCATGTCTTCAAGATAATGGAAACCAAAACATTTTTGATTCAGAGCATCTTCCTACTTATAACACGGACGTGATATCGTGTGTTAAAAACTTGGCCAATCAAGTCAGCGGACGCGTAGAATAAAACCGCTAGGTATTTGAGCATGTTTCACAGGGATATAAGCAGCGGCTATCCTGAGGGGAACACATCAACCCTGTTTAATGAGCAAATGGGGCGAGAGCATGCCCTTAGAAGGCTCACCTTTGACTCGCTCCAAGCTCTTCGTGATTTGTTTCTTCAACTCTTCAACTTTCTCTCGGTTCCCTCAGCTGAACCGTATGTAGCCAAGTGCTTTACTTGCCTAATCCAATTAACCTCACAGCCAGGTAACTCTCGGACAGCACGGAGACAGGGCTTGGTTTGACATCCCCGAAATGGTTTAGGGCTTACAACGTGAGCATTTTACTTGCATGCTCGGCTGGAGCTGCTTGTTCGACCAGATAGTTCTGTCTGTCAACAGTCTATGCCGTTTCCATCTTTTCGAAATTATGGAATAATGGCGTGTGGGACGTAAATTGATGATAACGAATAGTTAATTCTATGGCGTAGCCCGTTTATGTCGCACGTCGCTGCTCTTGTTGAAGACCTGCTATCTTGTAAGCTTACTCCACCAGCTCCATGCTTATTCCCTGCCACTGGACTGCGGGTTATCAGAGGCTGGTCATCTGATGATACATTGCTGCTCTCCTAGGAATTAGAATTTGGCAGGCAAACACTTAGGGAGGGAGGAGTGAAAGAAATCTGGGGTGATTAGGGAGGTAAGGTGGTAAAAGAGTACTGACAAACTAATCTCTAGGTAAGCATCTGCGTGAGTTCTACTTTGAGTTGAACTCTAATTCTCTGTAGCAATTTATGTAAAATGAACCTTATTTTAAATAATAAGAAAGATATCAGATATACCTTTTGATGTCGGAATCCCAGCTGAGCAAGACGTCTTCAGCTCCCACTTCTAGTAAATCCGCATATCAGCGCCCGGGGCTTGAATCCATGTCATAGTCTCACAGCCGAGTTACCTTCCTAAGTAGATAGGGTGAAATGCAGGTTTAGGGAGAACTCGTATTCCAGCCAATTAATCTTCATCTTTCGTGTCCATTATCTTCGAACGCCGCGGGGGATCGACTCCCGCAGCGCCTTTGCCGGTGATATAAAGTGTGCAACTGCCGACGCAAGTATACAGTTGTCTAATAACCTCTTCTGTCTGGAATTGACGACTTTCTTAGTGATGCTACTTTGTCTCACGATGCGGATTTGTTCTTTTCTTTTCTTCAGTGGGCTAGCCTTGGCTGCCGCAGAGATCAAGAGATCCACGCCCGCGGATCTTGTGGTTCCTCGAGACGTTACCAGTGCCCAACTCGTTGAGCAAAAGTACATTGTCATAATCAAGCCAACGGCCGTCTCATCGGAGATCTCCACCAAATACAACGCTACTAGTGTGTACAACACAACTCTCAATGGGTTCGCTGCTTTCCTCAACGATGATGAATTAGAGGCTCTGCGATGGGAGTCGGATGTGAGAAATTCTGCTTCATAATTCATCATTTCAGTGAACTAAATGGATTCTGTGCCCACAGGTCGAATATGTTCAACAGGTGCAAACCGCCAACATAAGCTCCGTGATCACACAAGAAAATGCCGGTTGGGGTCTTTCAAGAATCTCAAATAGTACAGTAGGAAGTACTTCATACAGCTATGACGAATCAGCCGGCGAAGGAACGTGCATCTACATTCTGGACACGGGAATATCTGTGAACGATCCAGAATTCGAGGGCCGAGCCACCTTTATCAAAGAGTTATCGGGAGATGGCGTTTCTGATGACACTGTCGGCCACGGCACCAGCGTTGCAGCTTGTGCTGCGTCAAAGACTTACGGGACATCCAAGAAGGCCAAACTATTTGCTATCAAGGTCGTTGGTGGTAACGGCGAGATTGGGGACAGCTCAACCGTTATTGCCGGGATGGATTTTATCGGCCAAGATTACGTCTCAAGACAAGAAGAGTGTCCTGCTGGAATTTTGGTTAACATGTCCGTCGGCACTCAACCCCCCATGCAGTCAATGAATGACGCAGCACGTGCTCTTGTCGAAGCGGGATTATTTGTCGGTGTAGCCGCTGGAAACTTCAACGAAGATGCTTCCAACCGATCCCCAGGAGCCGAACCTCTCGTTTGCACCGTTGGGGCCTCTGACAGTTCCAATAACCGCGCTGACTTTTCCAATTTTGGTGAATTGATGGACATTTATGCGCCAGGGAAGTATGTTGACACTATCGACAGATTTGGTGCTCCTGTAAGTTCGACCTTGATTCGAGATTGAAAGCGCAGAAGCGAATTGAGTAAAAAGCCGCTGATGCATTTGATAGATCTCATCCAGCGGGACCTCACTCGCATCCCCATATGTTGTTGGACTGGCCGCCAACCTCATGGCACTGGAAGGTAATCTAGGACCTATCGCTCTGTGTCAGCGCTTGCAGGAGCTCGGTGTTGAAGGTGCTCTTGGAAATATGCCAAATGGTACCATCAACATCCTAGCGAACAATGTGGCTGCGACCATCTAATGATACCTCCGTGGCCTTGTCCTCTGACCTATCAGAGAGCCGGGATGTGAGTAAACACTACTAAGTTCTTAGTTGCTATATGGACTTGAAACCGTGTCCCGGGATCCAAAGTAATTTCCACGTCTAAGATCTGGATAGAGATGACGTTACTTCGAGGATCTTGGTTCTTTTAGAGGGTATATTGAGGCTTTTTGGGTATTTTGACGATCCTAATTACTGAATGGAAGTATTTGACCGAGCCAACTGATTTGTTAATGAGATAGTCGAAGGGGCAAGCTGGTTGATGGAACATAGCAACACCAGCTTATCTTGGGCACTCTTACCTCACGGCAAATAAAACAGTGAGCCCTCAGGCTAGAAGGATTGATCCTTCGTTTTGTTTCAGCGAGAAATATTATGTGTGTGTGTACATTTACATATATTATTTCTATTGGAGATGATGCAATACTTCTTGCCCATCCGATTTCAAACCCATCACTTCCTGCTGTTCAGAAGTAGACCCGACTTATCATGAATTAATGTTTCTTTATTTAGTTTTCTATTTCTCCAAGGGAAGCTACACCACGAGCGGTATCAAATTTCGCAAGTCTTAATATCTAATGATTGTATTTGGAGTTTAATTACAGGTAGATATTGATTGGCCAACCTTGTTTCGCTCTGAACCTTGACTGCAGCCATTTTGGGTGAAAAGAAGCGAAAATGATGTTCCAGTATCATGGATGTCAAACGCACTCGGCGTATAGAATCCATCCAAGACATTACTATTTTCGGTGAAGCTGACGTGACTCGATAACCTTTTTATAAATAAAATGTATGTCTTTCGCTTAAGTTGTTTGCCGTCACACCATTGGTGGCTAAACCCTGAACAAAGAAATCCTACGATGCGACGTGGGAAGCATTGGAGGCAGTGTTCTGCCCACCCTGGTATCCCGCATCAGCCGCTCACTATATGCTCCCTAGATTCATAGAGACTAACTATCTGCCGAAATACGAGAAAAAAGACTTTTATATCTCCCGGGACTGTTTAAAAGCTTGAATTGTTGCATGCAGAATATTGGCTGATAGGAAGACTGGCATCAGATAAACCAGACAACGTGTGAAGGTCCGCCTTTAGTAGGGGGATCCAGAATCTATCCAGGCTGCACATAGCCGGCGGCCTCACCTGCAGTGATGGCATGATAAGATGACTGCCCTTGTTCTGTGCCATCTTTGTGCATTCAGAGGGTGAGATATATGGAACTTTGGATATGTCCACATGGTCACCCCCTCAGCCCTAATCTATCCGACGCAGGTAGCATCCTACACCCCACGCTTTGGTCCAAGGGTGAAAAAGCTGGAAATACTGAGTATGGGAAGCTAAATATGCTTGTGGAACGGCTGTTTTGTCTATTCATTGGCGGACACATGGAATTAATATACATATATTTATCAATGAAATGCCGGTATGTACCGCCAGTCTGATCCAAACCGGGGTAGATGAGGGCTGCATTTACTATCCATCGGGATTGACGAACCCGGTATCATTATGCAGGAAGAGTAAGAGCGCATCTGGGACCTTGCATCCAGCCGCAATTTATGTCTAGAAAGGAACACCCCGCCTCTACAGAAGTTCAAATCAATGTGCTCCGTGCATAGTAATTAGTAACCTGAATTTCTCACTTGGGGAACCTGTGTGCCTATCCTGCAGCCATGAGACCGAGTTGGAGGTAGTGTGTGATAATTATAGAATTACTTCTGAACAATGGGCGCGTAAAGAAGAGAGTAAAACATGTATAAAGGCCCAGCGTTGTCAAAAGATTGAATTCCGACAATACAATCAAACACAGTCTCTCCAATCCATCCTTTTCCTTATTTCCCTCTTTATATACAATTTCTTACACTTTAGATTTTTCCATTTTCCAATTATATATTCAAAATGGTTGCCATCGGTCAGCTTCTGTTCACCGGGCTGTCCGCTCTCTTGATGGTTCGGAACGTGGGTGCTTCCTACCTCGATGATTACGACGGCTTGGCTCTGCGAGACATCTCCGACAGCTACCCAGACGAGGTCTTCTACGAAAAGCGCCACACAGGAAAACTTCCCAAACCCATTCTCAAGGCTGGGCGGGCTGCCGTCAAGCTCGGCTCAAAGCTTCCCCGTCCCGTGAAGAAGCATATGAAGAACGCTGCCGGCGGCGCAATCAACGGAGCCATAAAGGCTTCATTCGCATTGTCCAAGAAGAAGAATCAGATCAAGAAGAAGTTCAAGGGCAAGCGCGATGTCGAGGAGCTCTCCCACCTGATCGCCCGCGAGATCATGAACAATCCGGAGATTGAGCATTTCTTGACTCGGCGTGCGACAGGCAGACTGCCCAAGCCAATTGTCAAAGCTGGGCGCACTGCCATCAAACTCGGCTCAAAGCTTCCCAAGCCCGTAAAGAAGCATGCCAAGGCCGCTGCCAATGGCATAATCAACAAAGCTGTGAAGGGTTCGATGGCGTTGTCGAAGAAGAAGACTCAGATTAAGAAGAAGCTCGGTGGCAAGCGTGATCTTGGAGAGGATTATGACGTTGAGGTCCGTGACTATGATGACGAGATCTCGTGGGAGTAGATACCCAGCTCTGTCAAGATTATAAGGATTTAGCCCCAGGATGACTCCATGGGTTCAACTTTTTGTGTACCTCTAGATTCTTTACCATGTATCAACTTTCGTTCTTTGTTTCCTCCTTACTTAAGTTTGGTTAGATTGGGAAAAGGGAAATTTGAATACTCTTAAAAATCAGCCCGAAGCATTATTGTGACCTTCCGGGTTTCTCCCAGTGATAACGGGGAACTAAGAATGACGCTTGCAATATCCCTATTGGTCTTGTCTGCATGTTGTTCTCCGAAACTCAGGTAGGATTCTCCGAAACTCACGTCTCACTCCGAAACTCCAGCCTGTGAGTTCCACTGACACCCAACGCGGGGTATTCGAGGATCCATGGTATAAGTAGAGCCACCGGAGGCGTACAGAATGTTTTATAATGTTAAAAAAATACGCATCCAAATTACCGAGAAAAGAATGGCTGACGCAGACAATCGAACGGCATCTTGCCTTTGCCGAAGCATCTCCCTTACTTTGGCAGGTGAGCCGTCGCTCAAGGTCCTCTGCCACTGCGACTCATGCAAAAAAGCGTCAGGAGTAGTGTTTCAAGCAAACACATTCTGGCCCAAGGAGGTAGGATAACCCTCTGCACTATGAAAAAGAGATTTTTTCTAATAACAATTCAGAATATCACGGTGTCGGACCCTGAGGGCATGCTGCAAGAGTATAGAGACACCTCTCCTGACTCGGGGAGATACGTGCTGCGCTCATTTTGTCGCAATTGCGGCTCATTTATAATGACCACGAACCCTACACATCCTGATATATCGAATATGGTCATCGTTCCCATCGGTATTATCAATGGAGAGAAAGAATCCATGATCCCTAGTCATGAGTTCTTCGTGAAACAAAAGCTGGGATGGTTGGAGTCTCGGAAGGGTGTACATGAATATCAAGGGATGGAATAAGACCATTAAAGTCTTGTTCGTGTATTAGAGTCGATTCAAAATTTGTGGAAGAAATCAAAAACAGTAGCGGTTCCTATTTTGAGGGATAAATAACATGATATGCCTAATGGTTCGGATGGTATTCTGATGCAAACCTCTCAATCTCGTCTAGATCCCAGATTTGGATCTGATGAAGCTCGCGAGATCCCTTCCACGACGAAACAACGAGTCTTCCATATCCCGTGGTTACATTGGCAATCAAACCGACTGATTCCTGTAGATCGGTAAGATATGCCTTGCTGGCCCAATCCCACAGTTTGATCCGGCCATCCGTAGTTCCAATTGTAACTACAAATCGCCCTACTTTGACAAGTCCACGCATGGGAGCATCGTGTGCCGTGAAGGTCTCGAGGAGCGTACCATCTTGCTCCTAGACTTGAACACACCCATCAAGCCCAGAGGTGATCATGCGGCCATCAAAGTTTGTGTACAGTTGGGTCTGTCTGGCCTGTGTTTGACGTTCTGCCACCAGAGTTCTTCACGAAATTAGCAGATTAGCAACTGAAGGAACTGTAGTGCCATGCATCTTGGAGCGTTGCTCACCCAGTTCTCCAGTCCCAGATAGAAACATGCCCACTGCCACCACACCCAGCACGAAGAAGCGCGTCGTCAGGGCTGAATGTCAATATGGAGATGTAGCCTGTATGATTGAGAACCCGAACACATTCCCCCGATGCGAGATCCCATATTCTCACTGTGTTGTCAGCGGCTCCGGAGAACAGGAACCCATCACGGAGTTCTAATGTTCGAATGTGGTCAGTGTGGCCTTTGAGAATGTGAGTAGGTTCATCCTGGTTCCGATCCCATAGCATGATATCATATTCAGCAGACGTCGAAACGAACTTGGAGGGGCTGTTGAGGAATTTAACAAGCCCTGTTGATGCCGTGGGCCCTGTAAAGGTACGAATCAGCACTCTAAAAGTGACAATGTCAGCTTGTTTATCACTGGCATAAGGAGCTTGGCCATACGCACCCGTTTTCTAGATTCCATAGTGCGACCTTGCTCGAGCCATCATTCAATTGCCCAGAGGTCAGCAACAGGTTGGATTCGGAATGGCAATCAGCGTGAACGACCATTCCAGTCTCTAGCACAACGTGATGGTTTGCACAGGTTTGACCTCTGGTTTCGCGGCATGTCTGGCACTGTAGGCTATGCACAAGACAATTTTTCTTTAAGACAATTTTTCTTTGCGGCAACCATGAACTTGCTGGTAAGCATAAACCCATGGACCATTGGATTGGGTCCGACATCAAGAAGAAACGTGATAGTAGCCTGCATTTTGGACTTTGAGACTGAAGATGCGATGGGACTGTAGGTAGGGATTCTAATTGAATCAAAACACATATGAAGAGGCAGTCTCCCTTATTTCCGGTCAAGATGTTTATTATATGGCTACTCTTAAGGGGGCGCAGCACTGATTGTTTCTGCCTGTCATGCATGAGGTTGGGTCAGCGAGGAACCAACAGGCCTTACGCTGACACCCCGCCTGTAACATGGTCAATACACAACGTACCCTGGCCGCTGTTGCTTGTCTTCTGGGACATGGACCTGAATGACTTGCACCAAAAGGTTAACTCGTTTGGTTCCCTGTCTTTGTTGACCTTGGTTCCGGCCGAATCGTACACACATGGTGCTTATAGTAAGAGTATATTGGGGCGGTGGTAGTGAACTTCTTGAAGATGAGGTGTAACCCTCATCAATAGGAACACGTTGATAATTAGATGAACAGAGTAATGCTCTTACCTTGCCACGTCCATCTCAATAACTGGACCAGCCAGGCAAGACGGAGAAGGGAGCCGACCAGAATACAAGTAGGCAGCTGAAACTGAATATTTGCACTTTACTTGTGTGTTTCATGATATCTCCAATGTTTACTTTTCATTACGCGTAATAAAATACAGGCGATAGTGCCTAAAACCTAAAATGCATGTTGACCTATCACAAACTTGTACTCATGCATGATGTTTCAGCCAACTGTCTTTTGAATGACCTGCTAGGCATCCTCATTCATGTGCTTCCTACTCTAGGGCTCGGAGACACAATTGTCCCTTGAAATGTGGTGTGTTGTGTCACTTGATCATTCAGAAAGCCAACAGCCTGTGCAAACAATACAAATCAACCAACACACTCACTGAGTCTTTACATTGGGCAGACATCGAGGCAGCCTGCAGGACTCTCCACATTTTCTCCACCTTCGGGTACTGCAAAGCAACTGCCTTGTGATCGCCTTCGTCAGCTCAGCCAACCTTTCGATTCAACCACTTCTCCGTGCCTGTATCGTATCCATTTCATCGGGCTTCCTAGCGGCATCTGCTGGTGACATAGCTGCCTAGGCTTGACCGTGCGGGCGAGCGGCGAAGTCATCTGACAGAGGATATCTCGGCGCTTGATCGCGTCGCCTCGTGATGGGGTACAAGCAATTCGTGGCTGACCTGAGGGCAGCGAAGGAGGCCAACATCGACGGTGGCGTTACTGAAATTCGGCCAGGAGAGTCTGAAGGAAGTGTGTCATTCAATTATATACATCGAAAGCTCGTGTCTCCTTTGGGGATCCAAGTCTTGGATCAGAGTAATACCCCAAATTTAGTCCTTTCTCCGATACACACCAAAATATATATGAACTAACACATCGCGCGATAGACATCGATGACTATCCAAAAGGGTCTTCGTTCATCCTCTTCACTTCCTCTGACTGTGCTGGAGACAGCGTCGTCTCATTCCTAAGCCGCGTGACACCCAAGCTCACTGGCAAGTCCGTGAAGGAGGTGATAGCGAGGATCGCACATGATCTCACTACTTTTATTGAGAATCCAGACGACTTAGAGGAACACTCTGATGATGGTGGAGAGGCGGATCACTCCTCACAGTCCGACGCGTGGGACGAAGATGACGACGAGGATTATGAGGACGAAGATGACGACGCCTTTGGGCTATCAGCAGGATTGCCATCAACTCGCCAGGAGCTGGAGATAATCATTCCCCAGTGGCAGGACAAAACTGAGAGGCAACGGCATGATTTGGCACTAGCCATTGATGCTGGAATTTCTGTCGCCGTCGTGGGCGATAGACCTGGACAACTGGGTGAGATCATCGCCATGTCCATTAACATCTCTCGCCTGGGCTTGAGTGATGACATCCATTCCATCTGGGGTCTACGGAGCTCCGATCACATCATGCTCTTACTCCAATTTCCTGTTGGGTATCCTTCCCTCGCCGACTTTTTGGCCCTCCAATCCCACCAGGCGGTCTATCGCGTACGACTCGGTAAATGTGCTTCAACTAAACCATCCTTCTCCTCTGCACGATCTGCTCTGTCAGCCAGCCGATATGACTATGAGGCCGAGATGGATGATACTCACCAGGTGCTGGGAGGAGAGGTTCAAGCGCCGGATGCAGATAATCGGGTCGAGGACGATAAATTCACCCCTTTGCATCTCTTTAACTCCATCACTACTCTGTTGAACCAAGAGTTTCCGGCCTTGTTGCGCACAAGAAGAGAACATGGTCTTTCCTGGGATAGTGCACAGGAACTTCTGCTTCGCCGTACCGAAGGCGCCCACATTCGGGATGCCAACTATTCTGGGTCTGTTGCTCAACACATCGCCGATGCTCTCGAGAAGAACGAAAGGCAGCAGCAGACGGCGAATCTTCCACACATTTTGGCTCAGGACCACGCTTTAGAGGATGAGGCGGTATTCAGCATCCCCCTCTCTATGATGTTGTTCTCCCTTCGCCGCCTGATCCAGAGCGGCAAGTATTGCGCCAGCTGCCACCAGCGAGTGACGGATGGATTCCAGGGCATGAAGCCGTACGTCTGCTCCCGGCCTCTCTGCGTGGATCAGTACTTCTCCTCGGGTATGGCTCCCGGCATTGAGCATGATATCATCAATTCGCCGGTCGTGGTGGACCTTCTCATCAGCTTCTTCTTTTCAGCCGTCAGCACTTCGAAGATTCGTGAAGTGCCCAAGGGTTTGGGACTCCTGACGTTGTATTCTGATGATTTGCTCAACTATGACGATGATTTCCATCTCAGCGCGATAGCGTACTTCAAGGAGAGAAGAGTTCAAATGAAAACTGGTGGTACCCAGCTCAGGGTTGGTGAACGGGTGTTTCTAATGGACGCATCATACGAAACGGTTGGTACCATTCTAGCTTATTGTCAGTACATTCTTATCCACGCTACGCTGTCCTTGCAGCTCGGATGCTGACACTCATCACAGCTGACTCGAGATGTCTCAGTCGCATCACCGCTGTTGACGGTGAGGGGTTCAATTTTGAGATATGCGCCTTCTGGAAGAATACGAGTTCTATGCCAGAACATCCTAAAACTCACCCGTCACTTTCCTTTTCGACGATATTTCTGGACAAGGCTAGAAGCAGAACAGATGGGGGTACCTACGTACGGGTCCTCCGCTATCAATATTTGATAGACGACCTTGAAACTCCCGGCTGCTACTCATCTCTCGCTGTCATGGCCTGTGGCATCCCCCCAGTCTCCGAGATGCGGGAATTCCTTATCGCGAAACCAGGACGGCGCCTCTCCTCATGGGAGAAACTAGACCACCAGACGTACAAACTCCTCCACTGGATCATCGTGTCAAACCAGTCGCTAATCATACAAGACAATCCTGGACCAGGACAGCTTGAACCAGGACAGCCTGCTGACGAGGAATCCTCTTCAACGCGGTTGGTGGGAATGCCAGAAAACTGGCTGCAATTCCGCTTTCTCCAGGGTTCACCGGAAAAGGAGCTCACGTTCCAGCAAGAAATAACATCCTCGTTCAAGGACCAGCTAGCGCGCCGTGAGAAGCCGTTTCCCACCATCTTTGGGTGGCACGGTAGCCATGTAGGCAACTGGCACAGCATCATCCGAACGACCCTCGATCATATCAAGATAGAACATGGGCGGTCGTTTGGTAACGGTGTGTATCTCAGCAAGGACCTCAGCACAAGTGCGTCGTATTCTGGTCTCAACGCCACCATGGTCACCTCGCCAGATTTGGTCCATCCACTACCGGTGAGTTTAGTAACAAAATCGATTCTTTTTTAATAGTTTCTGACCAATTTATCTCGACTTGCAGTATTTCACCTGGCCGCATTCCGTGCTACAGGTTGGTTCAGCGGTGGGATGCTGCGAAATCATCAACCAGCCCGACCAATTCGTCACTGCCGATCCCTACTATGTCGTCAACAACCTCGACTGGATTCAGTGCCGCTATCTTTTTGTTCATATCAACACGCAAACCCTGGCTGAGTCTGGTCTGCCTTTCCTGCAGCAGACAAATCGAGGCACCCTTGGGAAGCTCAGACAGGAACCTGCGCGGCAGCTTCTAGGACCTTCAGCGAAGCCCATAGACATGCCACGTTCAGCAGTTCCGATTGAAAGATTTAAAATGTTCCCATATCTTGCGCCTAGATGGCTCGTTGATGAGGCCAACAAGAGCGACGAGTGGACTGAGACCGTTGAAGGTTCCAAGGGGGTGGATGCCGATGGGATTTTGGGCTAAGCGACGGAAATGATACAAATGAAATGATGTTATGACTTGTTTTGAATACTACATATAAAAGATTATGTGCCGTTACCCCCTAGAAGAAATTTCAAGCCAACTGCAGGCATGGTAACAATGGCGCAAAGATGTTTTAATATGGGTTTAGTCATATTTGAGGGCTCTACAAGGACATAATGATTTAAAGTGTGGCTGGACCGGAGTGAAGGATATCAGGATCTGCTGACCCATTTTGGTATCGAAAGTTGCATCAATAACAAAAGTCCATTCCTTCTCCAAGTTAGTAATCAAGGATCAATTACTGATGAAGTCTTTCAAGCAATATCGCCCCTTGGCGTCTTACAAATGCAAGGAATAAGCCACTTAAGCAAAATAGGTTTCCCCTATAACATATAAAAACACGTCTCAAACCTCCGGATCCAGTCAGCCCAGTCTATTAGACTCGACTGTGGCGAAGTCCGCATCTTGACTGCTGGAAACGGGATCTGAGCTATGGCTAATAGAGAAACTGCGCGAGTGAGGCCCAGACTTCATGTCTTGGCCGGTAGGGTAAGATGCAATGTTGCGGCACTGCTGCCTCCTGCTTTTTGCAGACATACTCTGAAACACCTGTACTCTGCAGGATTAAATCTAAACAAGGGCGTATGTAACCATACGTCTAAGGAGGAAACTGCCGAGGCAGGGGGAAGTTAGAAGCCTAACTCTTTATTCCCTTCAATCAAAACCCACAAGTCTCACGATTTATCCATTGAATCATTTATAGGCTGGTATTTCGATAGTGGCCTACAAGAACCATTCCGTATATGATGACGCCAATTTCTAATAACACCCGCATGTGGTATACAAATAAAGCAGAGATCCCCTATCACATCTCGTCTATGACGCCTGCAGAAGTGCTTGGAATTGTCCCAGTTGATAACCGTCCCTTTACGGAGCCTCATATCTTGTGGGCGTAGGTAATTCGTTCAACTGCGGAGTGTTCTGATGTTGAAGATAATGCGGTGGTGCTTGCGAATGTGCATCCGAATTGCCAGCGCCAAACTCTCCAAGCTCAGGAAGACGTTCCGACTTTGTCATCGGGGTATCCGGAGCAGCTGCGAGCTTCTTGGCCTGTAAATGTCTCCAGAAGAAAAAAGCACACGCGGCGATAATCGCGATGCCAGCTATGGTCGACCCAACAGCTATTCCCGCAATCGCACCCGTAGACAATCCGGACTTTTGGCCTCGCGATGCATCGTCATTCGTAGCGGAATCACTCGAAGCATCAGCGCTGGCAGCAGCACTGGTTGATGAGGCCACCGTCAACAATGATGATGTTGTCGTTGTTGCGGTCGCTCCCGTCGCTCGTGAGACCTTGAAGTAGTGAGATTCGGCCGTCACTTTCGTAGAATTTGATAAAGCATCGTACATTGCGAGCCAGAACACGGAGTTCTCGCCAGTAGGAGGGGTGGCACCTCCAAGAACGGCCGTCCATTCATAGCTCATCCTCGTTGAGTTCTCTGCCTCATTGTCAGTTTCGCTCTTTCCCTCGGGTGGAAAAGCTTTGGTTTTTAATTAATTCACATACGAAGCATAGGCTCATTGAAATACGTTACTCCGTCGTTAGCCGAGGACGGTAGAGGGAATCTCTGCCAGATCACGACATCAACATATGCGAGGTCCGTATCCCAGAGGAACTCGACTCGTTCACCCTCCTTGTAGGTAGGATTGTCGCGGAAATCGCCCTTAATGCCACCAGATGGAGGTCGGTTGAAGGTATTGGCCGATATTGCTGACCCAGAGAGCCCAAGAAGGGAAGTAAGGAAGATGACCGAATGCATCATTACTGCCGCTGGGTGCTGGTGAAGGAAAGTCTGCACAGATAATGAAGGTTTAGATGTGGCGCCCTGCCTCGGTGAGCAGAAGATCCAGGAGGGAGAAAGAGTGGAAATCAATCATGCGAAAGCGATTGATGAAGCGAGGTGTGTCTCCAAGTGTCAGACTAGCAGTCCTTTTCTTAGCCCACCCCCAGCCTCAATCGGTTCAGCTACAATCACACCATCCTTCAAGAATTAATTTCACACTCAATTTCAAGGGGAGGAAGCGTAAACACAGCCCTGTAGGTGACAACATAGACGATCCTCAGATACACCAATACGAAAGGGGCAATGGCCGCCTCTCACATCCATGTCAAGATGCTGTGACAGAGTCACTAGTTGAGATAATCCTAGTGTGTTCTCTTTCACTTTCGCTTTTCAGTAATAACTCATTACTTGGCGCATTCGAATATTACTATATTACTGTCCATAGTTGCGTTTACATGCATTCCTGCACAGACTCTATTACCTGCCTCGACTTAGCCATCAAGTATGTTAAATATTCCCATTCATTTTAAAGAGCACCCTCGAGTAAATTTCTTTTAATCTTTGCGAGGCAGGAATACCACTTTTTATATCCAGATGTCATCACCTGACGTCGAAACACTAGACGGTTACTTTCCTCGACATTAAGATAAAGAACTGAACTTTATTTTTCTTCCGCAAATGACCTGTTGAAATCGCTAGGTATGGCCAGGGATCTTGAGATATTACTTTTACGTACCATTCATGTATAAAAGGCCTATCACTTCTTATTTACTTCAGCCTTCATCCACTATCACGCCGCCATTCATGCGGAAAATTATAGGTTGAAAGATCACTCCAAATGACACTGAAGTTTCGATATTTACGTCATAATACTAAACTAATACACGACTGTATAGATATTAAGATATTTTTGCGAAACCACAGTCCAGGAAGGGTTTTTTTACAAATCGGATCAGACCAATAACGGGACGGTTCCTACCCTATACAGGTGTTAATAAGACACATGGTTCAGTCTACCTAGGCAGCTAGATACTCTTCGGTTTAGAGAGGTAGCTATTCGTTGAATTGTAGTTGGAACGCGTAGAGTAAATACAACTAATCATATTTGTTGTAAAAACATGATGGAGCTGAATTTACACGTACGAGTAAAACTGCATTGAGCTTTCGATGGAGACTGAAGCTATGCACCCGGCTATGAAATAAAGCATTAGTACAGAGATAATTTCCTCATACAGTCGAGCTCCTTCATCATTATCGTCCACAACTCCCCTTCGCGACCCTGCCGATATGTGAGTCGTCGCATATGTAGCCATTTACATATAGCCTCGAGGTCCTCTTTGGCACGGCTTTCACACCACCAAAGGCCATACCTCAGCATAATAGCTAGCCAATAGCCAAAGAGCCACAGTGCCCGCTCGTCTCGTTGATAAACAAGAGAATGGAAATCTCCTTGTAGCTTTCCTAGAAACAACAAATTGCGGAATAAATTATACCTGTTGACCTCAAGATGCCCCACAGTTGCGAGAATGGTCGCTGGGGCGCGATATGCGTCACCTAACCCATTGCATTCGCAACCGCTGATTGAGGATACCAGCCCGAAGAACTCGATCCAATGATCAGGGACACCTTCCAAGCTTTCAATGAGATGAGCGAATGTCCAGCGATCTGTGTATCTACCAGTGAAGACCATGCTGGTGAATTTGACACCCTCCGTGAAGTACTCATTCATAGATAGCATGAGTGGACGAAGACCGGTTTGCAGGACAAGCCACTTCAAGCGGTCTTCCCGTGGGCTAAATAGCCAAGAAGACTCAGGATCCATGATCCTCTGAGCAGGAAGCCCTTCAGATTCATGGTGTGCAAAGGTCAACAAATTGAGGAATGTGGCGCTGATGAACAGAGAGTTCACGCCTTTTTGATCCGGCACATGCTTAAGCGTTTGAAGTAGCTCTCTATATTTCTGGAGGGCCAGGGACCTGTAGAACAATTCCGCAATACGATGCGGACGATGAGCTGGGACCCGCTGGCGAATGTGGGTGGCTGTGAGGGCGAGAATAACGGCACGTACTGTCGGGTCAGACTTGAACAGATCTTTGGTTTCTGGGCGGCAGTCGACATTCGTGACATTTGTCCAGTGTTGCCAAAGGTATTGGATGAGATGTACAGTCGGAGTGCCATCGGGTGGGTTTGATGTTGAGAAAGGTAGCAAGGTAATGGCACTCAGACACGACAGCGAGGGCTGTTGGGTCCGTTCAACGACCTTTTTATCTCTTTCTTGTCTCTCATATTGACAAAGCCTCCCGTTCCTGGAGCATCTCAAGCAAACAGGCTTCAGCTCATCACACTATTGCATTGAGTTAGCATATTTCTTCTAGCAGAGCCCCGTTAGAGTGTAAATATTACGCAATCTACCTACTAACCTTTACCTTTTTCTTCCTACAGGCCAAACAGCCCGAGGTCACCTTTTGATGGAACTTGCGCTTCTTCACGGAGTGTAGTTCCACACTAGCTCCATTAAATGAGAGCACTTGGAATTTGGAGCCGCCAGCCATGGCCTGCAGTAAGCGTTAAGTTAGAGCTATCAATGTTGCAAAGATGCCGAGGGCAGTCTCAAGATAGGTAAACGAGATACCGGTATGTATATACCACCGAAGCTCCGGGGATTAGCGTTTCAGTGAGGGGCTTGATCCATGCTTATAGTCGTGGCAACAGGGGATTTTGTGCCCGAAACTCCGCCCATTTGAGCTAAGACTAGTCAGATTCGGAAGTATCGGGTTTAAGGTTTGCATTACGTATCGGTGAAGGGTGATCAAGGAGTTAGGGTCGGTTTGTTATTGGATGATGGATGGATCGAGATAGCTGAGAGAGAGTATTAGATAGACTTTCAAAAAACGTTCACTTCAACATTGCATTTGAGCGAATATCACTTGGTCCTAATAGATTTTGAGCCATATTACATTTAGTGGTCGGGACATTCGAGATCAAAGTTTTACTATTGAGAAGCGATATGAACCAACCATTTAGAATGTGCAATCGCGCCACTGATGTGTAATTTCGTCTACCTATCTTCTTCTACCTATTCTAGAAATGAAATGAAAATTCTATAGATCAGGATGTCTAAATTTCCAGAACCTAATTGTTTCAAGCCCATGTGTCGAACCACCTCACAGCTTGGAAAAAGGCCGCCTCCTTGGCAAATTTCTGCTCGGGATCAGACACGTTGGCGCGAACACCAAACCCATGCATAGTGCCACTGTAAAGAGAAACCGAGTATGTCTGCCCAGTTTTCAAAAGCTGATCCTCAATTTCATGGCGGCGCCCAACAGGCATTGCGTCATCTGTCTCTGTTACTACGTTAACACGCTATCCATCGCAACCTTTTGGATAATGCACTGCAACTCACCTGCAGCAGCAACTGAAACTGGACCAATGATACTTGCGATTTCCTCATCCTCGAGAAGGCTTGGGTGGGCAGCGAATGCAGCTCTTACGTGGTGACCCTCGGAGAGCAGGCGGAAAGCATAACGGCCGCCGAAGCAGTATCCAGTGGCCACAATATTATCGACGGAAAGCTTTTCCCGAATGAAGTCCACGCTTGATTTGAGAATTGGGTCAATAACCTCGGGGCGATTCTGATATAAAAACCCCGTCATATTGAACCCAGGATCAATAAGATCAACCGGTGCGGGCTTCCCGTTAAACATGTCTGGGGCGATGGTTAGGTAGCCAGCACGGCCGAAGCTATCCGCTAACCTGGCAACGGTGAATGAATCAGCACTCTGGCATCCTTTTTCTCCTTCATCCATGGTTTTTCTCTTGCTTACAGTTTGTTCTCGGCCAATTGTATGCCAAAGACATCTGTCAAGTACAAGACAGCCGTATTGGATTCCTTGCCGGTAACGTAGAAAGTCGCTAAGTTTTGTCAGTCCGGCGCTCCGCAGATAACCTTTCTCAAACGTTACTAACTATTGCCAAATTTGATCTCCTTTCCTATCGGCTCCCCTGTATGCGCAACAATTGATCCATTGGAGGCATGGGAGGCAGCACAAGCCTGAGAGACTAGGGGCATGCAGAGGTACAGTAAACTAAAGAACTGCTTCATGGTGGGCTTTTAAACAAAATATCTTGAATCCGAATGTTTAGGGTTGAATTGACTGGAAGAATCTATACTCATCTTCGAGGAGACTCATTCAACCTTATATACCCAGTCTCCCATGCGATAATAGGCCACTCCGAAACCCTAGAGTGTGTTTAACTCAATTTTAGCTTCTCAAGCAATTGTCCGAGGACCAGGCATGCTGGCTGGCATTACCACATACGGTAAACGAGGTTGTGGAGTTCAGTGTAAGCGCAGACCCACCGCATAAACCGCAGCAACGATCAACCCAGATACTACTAAGATTTGTAAGACGAACGTCAAGGGAGATAATTACGAGCATGGAGGATTGCCAAGCCCGTTTACCTACTTGAGATGTTAACAAGTTCACCGAATTTTCAAGAGAATGACCGTACATCGTGTCAAAATGGCCAAGTATAAGTATGCTCTCGTTTATCTAACTGTCGAACTCATCTCTTCATCAAATTACGCTTCTCAAACATTTTTCCGCTTGCATAAAAAATGAAGACATTTTGGCGCCTTCTGCCTATTTTCTCGGCTATCACCAGTCGCGTCGAAGCTGCGGACCCGATAAAAGACTTGGTTCCTCGACTCTCGACAGGTGCCTGGATTACCACGGATCTTTCCTCTGCACCACGATGGAGTGATTATGCCGCCCCCAAACCTGGATATATTGTCCATGTTGCCGAAGAGCTTGATGTGGCAGAGACTGTGAGTTGTTGCGTCCATTCAACGAGGCCTTCATTTACGAACCAGGGAGCAGGTCAAGTACTGTAACGAGAATAACCTCGACTTTCTCGCTCAGGCCGGTGGTCACGGCGGTGCTACTACGTTTCATCTGGGAGCTAAAGATATCATCATCAATTTACGCGGTCTGAACTCAACAGTTGTGAGCGAGGATAAATCCGAGATGCTCGTTGGAGGAGGTGCTACGAACAGCGAGTATGTTGCGGCAGCTACAAATAACGGAGTTATTGTCTGTGAGTAAACAAGTATGGCATTTCACTGGACAATAAACCATCTAATTCACGCATAGTAAACGGTGGTTGCAACTGCGTCGGCGTAAGTTCCTATGCTATCAATTCCCGCACCACCTGCTCTTTATGTAGGCTGGAGGATTGCTATATTTCTATCTTCCAATGAGTATTTTTTTTTCTTTTTGCTAACGACTGGTATACATTACTAGGTTAGTGGGTTGACACTGGGCGGAGGCCTCAGTTACTGGATGAACGAGTTCGGCAGTGAGTTGATGCACTCCATCAGCAGCTTTTTATAGGCGATTCTATTGCTTACATGAGTCATAGTGCCTGTTGATAATCTTATATCGGCAAATCTGGTGACAGCCAAGGGCGAGCTAATTGAAGTCTCGGAACAAAAGAATAAGGACTTACTCTGGGCTATCAAAGGCGCAGGCCCTAATTTTGGCATTGTTACGTCCTTGAGGATGAAGGTACATCCTCGTGAAAATGTGAAGGTCTGGGCGGCACAGCTGGTGTTCTCTGGAGATAAGCTGGAGGAGTTCTTAAACACGATGAACGAACTCAAATTATCGCAGAAGATGGTCGTTAATTGGGGTCTCACCTATGTTTCTCCCGGACCCTCTTCAACCATTTTCGCGGGTCTTGCTTATTTGGATGGCGACGCCGACGCTGCGGAAGCTGCATTCCAACCCCTTTTTGACATTGGACCAGATCAGACGATGTTGATCGGAGTCATGGATTATGCCAGGATGAATGATGCCGTGGACGCTTTCTGCGAAGACGGTGGGCGAAAGCCCACTTGGCTGGTGGGTCTGAAATCTTTGGATTATCCTACTTGGCAGCAAGTGTCCGATCAACTGGCCACTTTCGTTGAGACTACGAACCAGACTGCCAGTCGCGTACTTGTTGAGACCTACTCAACGGACGCCCTCCGCGAGATTGGGTCAGATGGAGCATCGTATCCACACCGCGATATCAATTTTTACGCTTTCGTACAGCCTATTTATGCCGATTCTAGTCTGGACGACGCAGCCGATAAACTTGGCGCCAAAGTACGAGATCTTTGGAGAGAGACGGATGGTTTCGATACTCCACGAACGTGAGTTGTTCATATATATTACAACACTCCGCAACTTGATCCTAACAATACTATAGGTATATCAATTTCGCCCATGGCGACGAAGATCTTGAGGATATCTATGGTGAAAGCCTGCCCCGACTGAGGGAGCTCAAAAAGAGGTGGGATCCATCCAACCGGTTTAATCAATGGTTCCCAATTGTCTAGATTGGCATCAAAGGCCATATGAGCTACTACATTGATGTTACGGCCTGTTCAAGTGTCAACTGTAAAAGCTCGGGGCCTACGACAACACTTCAATGTCAAGGTTAACCTATATAGTGCTCTGTCGAGTCAGGATCCATAGTTTACCTTGGTAGTCCTTCGCATTGTACCATCACTTTGGGCTGTGGCTACTTAAAGGAAATGTTGTTTACTAGTTTCAATATACTTTGCCATTGCTTGATGTGTTCTCGATTAACTCTTCAGTGAGAAATCCAATCATACTTTGACTGACTTAAGTAGAAAATGCGATTGCTTCTGGGTAAATTCACGAATATAAGACTAGATTATAGGGCATATTTCGTCCCACTTTGCGCTAGACTCACAATCTTACGCTCGGTAAATTCTTCAACCCCCGCCATTCCACCAAAACGACCATATCCGCTACTACCTCCCGTACCACCATTGGGCAGTGGCGCCTCGATGTAGACTGTCGGTCCATTTATGTGACAACTGCCCGCTCGAACCTGTCGAGCCACGGCCAAGGCTCGCATGACGTCCCTCGAGAAGACACTGGCACACAGAGAGAATTCACTGTTGTTGGCTAGCTCAATGGCTTCATCATCCGAACTTGCCTCGGTGATACAGATGATAGGACCAAAAGTCTCCTTCTGGAACACAGCCATTTTTGGGGTAACTTCTGAGAGCACGTGAGGGGCCAAGATGGTGTTGTTTGGTCCCGAAAACTCAAGGTCGCCGGTGAGAAGCTCTGCGCCTTCTTTGATTGCGTCCTGCATAAGTCCAGTGATGCGTGTGCAGGATGAGGCTGTGTAGAGACCTGAGAGAGAGACAGACTCGTCTTCTTCGTGATTGCCATATTTGATCGCCTTCACTCGCTGCAACAGAGCGGCTTTGAACTCGGCCGCGATGGAAGAATCGACAATGACCCGTTCCGTTGACATGCAGATCTGCCCACTGTTGGAGAGGGCGCCGAATACTACTGCTTCAACAGCATCTGTAATATTCGCATCGTCAAGTACCACCACCGGGGCCTTGCCCCCAAGCTCCAGTACGCATTGTTTGAGGCAGGTGGCGGCCCAACCAGCAATGATGCGCCCAACTCGGTCGCTGCCAGTGAAGTTGACACGTAAGACTTTTGGATGCTTCACGACAAATTCTGTGACCGCCGGAGAATCGCCTGCGGAGGTGGGCAGGAAGTTAAGACACCCTGCTGGCAGGCCTGCCTCTTGCAGGGCGCGTACGACGAGATGTTGAGACTTTGGTGAGAACTCTGAGGGTTTGAGGATCACTGTATTGCCGCATATAAGAGGACAAGCAATCGCGCGCGCTGTTAAATTGACCTATTTCAAGACTGTTATAACCTGTATTCATATATTTGGATGTAAGAGGACTCACTGGGGCATTCCAGGGGCTGATAGCGAACACAACACCAACAGGACATCTTTCGACCAGAATCATTGTTCCAGGCCGGTCGGCAGGGATAATTTCACCCTTGATGTGTGTGACCAGCCCGGCGGTGTCGCGAAGAATAGTAGCCGAAGCCTTGATGTTGAGCTGCACCCAACTCTTGACGGCGGATACCTCGGAGGACAAGATTTCCGGTGCATCTTGGTCCAGATAGGACTCCAGTATGTCGGCAGCGCGAAGAAGAAATAGTCTTCGAGCTGATGGTGGCGTGCGGGACCACGAGCGGAAGGCTTCATGGGCATGTTCGATAGCTTCTGAGTAGTCATCAACAGTTGCTCCAGCACATGAGTATATGGGCTTCCCCGTCATGGGATTGACCACGGGAAATGTAGACCCATTTGACGGCGCTCTGTAGGTGCCGTTGATGAACAGTAGTTGGTCATCGGATAGTAAACGAGAAGTCATGATGGCTGTTATTGCTACTGGATGTTGGGGTTCTTCTCTTGGATGAGGCCTGACGAGGAGGTCCTTCTTAGCATATTCATCGCCCCAAATCCTGTACATAGACGCATTCCAGTCCGGGGCCCCTCGGCCCACATCATCGGTGTTAATGAGCCGTCATGGCGGATGCATGCTTCCGATAGCTCAGCATGTGCGGTTCCGTCTCCACGAACTCTGCGGGGTAAATCATGGAGTAGGAAGCGTGACCTCAGCACGTAAAAGACAGGGCAACCATTGATAGGTTGGGTGCGACTTGAAGATATATGGTGTAAACCGATATCCGCCATATATCCTAAACAATCTTGTCCAGCTTAGTCTTTAGCCCTGAGGGCGATTCTTATCATTCCTTCAAAACACCTACCAACTATGGGAAGTGAACTTACGAGCGGTGCGGCCGCGATCCTGTATGCCCTCGAAGCTGCAGGCATTACGCATCTGTTCGTCAACCTGGGGTCTGATCATCCCGCCTTTCTGGCTGCTTTTGCAAGCAACAAACACAATATCCAAATTTTCACATCTCCCAATGAGATGAATGCCCTGTCTGCCGCTTCTGGCTTTGCCCAAATAACGGGAAAGCCGGCTGGTGTGTTGGTACACGTGGAATGTGGTACACAGGGACTTGCCGGTGCCATCCACAACGTCAGCAAAGGGAGAATCCCAGTCATGATATTCGCGGGCACAGTTCCCGTTACCATGGAAGGGGAAATGAGGGGCAGCCGTAACGAGTGAGTTTGAAGGATTCACTGAAGGATTATTGTTGACAATCAACTAACCTGCCCTTTAGATACATCCACTGGATTCAGGATGTTCCGGATCAACGAGCAATAGTGAGACAATACATGAAATATGAACACGAGATCAGGTCTCCTCACAATGCCATCCAAATCGTCTTGCGGGCTCTGCAGTTCTGCATGACAGAGCCTAAGGGCCCGACCTATCTCATTGCAAGCCGCGAGACGCTTGAGGCTGATACTCATGCCCCAAGCACCAGGCCTTCTCAAAAGCCAGAATTAAACATGGCTGTAGAGCCAATTGGGCTATCTCCAGCCAGCATTGAATACCTTGCTCGTGCATTGGTCCAGGCAGAGAACCCCCTGATTGTCACCAGCTATTGTGGCCGTTCCGCAGCAGGATTCAACGCGCTGAAGTCACTGGCTGAGCTTTTAGCAATACCTATCCATGAAAATGCCCCCATCTACAATAATTTTCCAACTACCAGCTTCTTGCACCAGGGTCATCAGTGGAACGGCGGGGGACAGCTACCTGCACTGGCCGAGGCCGATCTGGTGCTTGTAGTGGATGCCGATGTACCGTGGATAGGAGCCCAGTCGCGTCCAAGGGACGAGGCTCGAGTGTTCCATCTAGACAGCGATCCACTCAAAGACTCAACTACTCTGTGGTCTCTGCCATGTGAAAAGAGATGGCGTGCGGAATCAAGCCTTGCTCTGACACAATTGGCTTCATTCATTACCGACAAGGCACTGATTGCGGATTCGGTCAAGGCAACCATCGCAAATCGAACATCTAAGCTTGAAGAACGATTCTTGGCCCGACAAGACAGGCTGCAGACCGCCGAAGCTCCTCCCAGTGATGGCAGCGTCACTGTACCTTTCGTGATGTCACGTCTACGAGAGGCGTCGTCTGGCATCTCTATTGTTGGACTGAACGAATCCACTACAAATCTCGGCAATGTAGCTGATCATCTGCGGCACGAAAAGCCGCTCTCTCTAATTGGAAGTGGCGGCGGTGCTCTTGGCTGGTACTCAGGGGCTGCAGTGGGTGCACATCTGGCTCTGCAGTCTCAAGGGCGTGACGATCTTCTTGTTGCATTCACCGGGGACGGAACATGGCTGTTCGGGGTCCCGTCCTGTGCTTACTGGATGGCAAAGCGCTACAATACCCCATTCCTCACCATTATTTGGAACAATGGAGGCTGGGCGTCCCCAAAGAACGCGTGCCTGAGGATTCATGATCAACTGAGTATTGAAAGTAATTTGAGTGAAAAGTTTGGCGTTTCTCTCAGCCCATCGCCCTCTTTCGGTAAGATCGCGGAGGGTGCTGGCGGAGCCTGGTGGGCAGTTATTGAAAAGGCCAACGAAGTAGATAGTTCCCTCCGGGAAGCTATCCGGGTAGTCCGGGAGGAGAAGAGATGTGCTCTATTAGAGGTTAAGATTAAGACAATTTGAATTGCATTTTATTTTGGTAACACATCAAGTGTGCTTCTATACTGGGAGAGAGTTCGAATGTAAAGTTAAAAACAATAATAGAATATGCCAGACCCGACAGCTTAACACAATCAATAGTACTTGAGTATCACAATATCATAATGAGCTTCTCCATTATCAGCCAAACTACCAGCCACCGAAGCACCATTCCACTAATGAACGAATGGATAGCCTTAGGAGACAACTAATATTCAATTAAACTCTGGGTCGTGTGCTCATTTCATTGGTATGTAATTAAGCTAGAATTGGAAATTAAAGGAGAAGGGTAACCCACGACGCGCGCTTTTAGCTGTCAAGGCATCGGATGCATGCATCCGATGAGGTTCTAGGTCGAAGGCTGGGGCAACCTGAAGTTTGTGGGGTGGCTAATGGACAAGGAACAGAGTTTAGCCAAGCGAAGGCCTTCAAAAAGGTCACGAAAGATGAAGGGAGCACCGGAAGGACGCCAACCAGAATAACGTGAAGAAATGTCGAGGCCGGCCGTCCACTCCATTGATGACCTGGAGGCTTATGCCTCAAGCCATCTTCCCAAGCTTGCCCGTGACTATTTCAACGGAGGGTCTATTGATGGTGTCACGCTACGGGCTAATCGAGATGAATACAGGAAATGGTATATTCAACCTCGCGTGCTCTGCGATGTCACAGGAGTAGATACCAGCACCCAAGCTTTCGACGGCGGCAATGCCATTCCTTTCCCATGCTGTGTCGCACCAGCAGCGATGCAGCGCATGGCACACCCGGATGGCGAATTGGCGACAGCCCGTGGTTGCGGAGCCTTTGGGACTGTGATGGGCTTGAGTACGTTCTCAACGACGTCTCTCGAGGACGTCAAGACGGCAGCAGATGAGGCACGCTTAGGAGCAGGTTTAAACGGTCCAAGCGAATGTGTCTTGCAGATGTATCTGTTCGAAAATCGACAAACCAGCTTGGATCTTATCCGTAGAGCGGAAGGTCTGATGATTCTATTCCCTATACCTCCGACCCTTTTGGCTGATTTAGATAGATTCGGGATACCGAGCGATAGTTCTCACGGCTGACACTCCTTTCTTTGGAAGAAGGTTGACTGAGATTCGAAACGGGTTTAGACTGCCAGCACATTTGCGGATGGCAAATTTTGATGCCTCATTGGAAGTCAAAACTGGATCCGAGCTCAGAACTGACCAGCTGCAAGGGATCGAGAAAGGCCAGGCAATGAAGCAAGCCAACAAACTCGGTAAACCATATTTTTGCGCTTGAATTTGGGAGAGAGCTGACCATTCTGACAGATGCTTCACTAACCTGGGAAGCCCTGCGCTATCTAAAGCAGCATACACGTCTCCCTATCTGGGTGAAGGGGATCATGTCACCACAAGATGCTGATCTGGCCATTGAGAACGGAGCCGATGCCATCTTCGTCTCCAACCATGGAGGAAGGCAACTTGACGGCTCTCCCCCATCCCTGATGGTACTGGAGTCTATTGCTAACGCCGTTGCTGGAAGAGTTCCTATGGTAAGTTCACATGGGGCCGAGCTTTGAATATCGAGAACTGAAATCTTGCAGCATTTTGATGGTGGTATCCGGAGAGGTTCCGATATGTTCAAGGCTTTATGCTTAGGCGCCAACATGGTCTGGATTGGACGTCCGGCTCTATGGGGAATTGCATACGATGGGGAGAAGGGCATGTTGAATGCTTTGACTGTCCTGAGGGACGAGTTTCGTGAATGCATGGCCCTCGCCGGTTGCAAATCCTTGAAGGATCTAGGCCCACATCTTCTAATTCGGGCAGACTCGCGGCTGTAAATAGAAATAGGAATTGTTGACTGCCTGTAATAAGTTCTTTTTCCTAGCACAATGATGATAACTTTGAAAGCGTTCCACGCAGGTCCAGGACATTAGTTTTTGTGGATGAAAACTCAGGGTTTCATATACCAAAAGTACTCCTGAGAAGAGACATCCGGAGTTTTAGCTCAGTTGGGAGAGCGTCAGACTGAAGTTCGACTTCAGTCCTCAATGACATCTGAAGGTCGTGTGTTCGATCCACACAAACTCCAATTTCTTTTTGGCTTTTTTTACCAGATGCCTACGAATGTTGAACAGAGTATTCTACAATCTTCTAATGTAACAAAATTCGAGGGGCAATTGTAACAGGCGGCAAGATCCGGAATATTTCCCCATCCCAAGGTGTTGAGATTAGGCCGAGGAACGACTGAGTGATACGCATGGACTCAACGTACCACAGCAATGCTACTGCAACTTTGAAATCATCGTCATATACATGATTCACGTTATTATTGAAAAATTTTAAATGTTGCTGTGCATTATGTAGATCTCAATATTATGTACATCTCATGCAAAAATGCTGTTATGGCTTTGAACTCAAAGGTAGATGGGGTTGTGAAGATGGCGAATATAAGGCTCAAAGAAAATGAATTTACTTGCAAACAACAAAACTAAATGTACGATATGATATATCTACTGGCCGGGTTCTAATCACTCTAGTGAGCCTTCATCTCAGCTCGGCTTGCCACTTGCCAATTAGCACCCTCCTTCTCCAAAACCTCAGCATCGTGACTGAACAACCATTTTCGCCGGTCGTCAAATCCCCAGAAAACGGGATTCTCTACGGCATTCAGCCTCATGGTCTCGTCACGCACCTTCTGTTCCTCTCCATCCTCAATGTGCAGAATGTACTGGTGCTCTCGTGTCTTTTCTTGCACCAGGCTTGCTCGGGGGCGGCGAATGCTCTCATACTTGTTCAG